GGGGGGCCCCCCGGGAGCGGAGCCGCTCGGCGCAGCGTAATCCGTGGGACGCAGCCCGCAGCATGAGCAAGAAAGTTGGGAGGGGGGGGAAAGGAGGAAAAAAGAGAAAGAAAAAGCCCAAACCAAGCCACAATAAATGCTAATACGGCTGAGAAGGCAGCTCTGCGGCCCTGGCCCACGGAAATTTGTTTCAAGTCAAACCCGAGCCGTACCCGCCTTTTCTTCGCAGCTACTGGGAGAGGAAACACCCCGAGGTGCAGCTATTATTTACAGGAACTTTCCATCCCAGATTGATCTGCTCTTTATTCGTGGCCTCATTTAAAGCTGTAATGAAAAGAGAGGAGAGAAATAAAAAGAAACAAAAAAAAAAAAGGATGAATAAGCAGCCCTTTGTTGCAAAGCGCCGTTACGTGCCCACCACCACCACCAACGGCCACGGGGCCACCAGCAGAAAAAGACCTTTCGAGTTGTTCCGGCCCCTCTCCGAGCAGGGGCTAAAACACATCCCCGCGGCCAACGTAGCTCCGCAAGCAGATGATGCTAAACTTCGCCAACACCTGAAAGCCAGATGGGTGTTATTTTTATCTGGGCCACCTACCAAGCACAGGACCACGCAGACACGTGGGCAGGCCTAGCTTAGATGCAGGTTTTGCAGCAGTGTGAGGAAGCGGGAAGGAGGCTGCGGGGCTCAGCCTGCCCCAAACCCCTTCGTCCTCTGCTGCCGGCCCCCGGCTGCACAATGGCAGCTGGGCGACCGGCGGCTCCAGCAGTTCAAGGGGCACCCCGAAAAACAGGGAGAAAACAATGTTGGTGGGCAGTCTGAGTACAAGTGTTTGAAATGCAAAAACGGAAAGAAAAACTATTGCTTGAGGCACTTGGATTTGTTTTTTTTTTTTTAGCATTTCGGCTAACAAAACAATCTCCCAGGGAAGATGAAAATCGTTTCCTTCGCTCCTTCGAGAACGGAGCTGAGAAAAAAAAATCTCCGGAAAGAAAAACTATTGCTTGAGGCACTTGGATTTGTTTTTTTTTTTTTAGCATTTCGGCTAACAAAACAATCTCCCAGGGAAGATGAAAATCGTTTCCTTCGCTCCTTCGAGAACGGAGCTGAGAAAAAAAAATCTCAGCTGCACCAAAATCTGATTAGATTTGTTTGCCAGCCCAAAAAAAAAAAAAAAATCTCAGCCCCACGCTCTAATGTAACGACGCTGCCGGGCGCAGCGCGGGGGAAGGCGGCCGCAAGGGCAGCCGCCGGCCGCGGGGCTGCTGCCTTGCCCGTTCGCCGGCCGGCTGCTGGTTTTGGG